TTAATAGTCAGAGTAACATACTCTGTACATTTGTATACCTTCTCAGGGTCCATTTTATTTATGTGTTTTAGAGTTGGATGTTAGAGGTAACCCTGTTGGAAATATTAGTGAAAAACATTAATATCTAAAAGGAAAATTTTATTATATGAGTACTTACTTAAACCTTGGAATTAGTAAACTAAAGATTGATTCCATACATTGTACATATTACTATATTCTGTATAGTTTCATTTGCATAAAATGGATTTTCACCTTGGTCTGTATGATATTATTGCATTTGAGTAACAAACTTTTAGAATGATTTAAATATTATTTAGTAAGAATGTTAGAGTCCCTAGAATTCTGGAAGGTAACAGTGTAAACAAACTTCAGTTCTACCTCAAAAATACAGCAAAGAAAATGGGCATGACTTTGAAGGGCTCTGAAGTATGGAGCAGAGGAAAGCAGCAGGAAACTTCATACCGTCAAGAATCAACAAATGAGCAGGGATTTGTGTGGTGTTGTTTTGGGCTTTTGAGTTGATGACAACACATAGCAACTCCTCTGTGAACAACAGATCTGAACCTTGACCTATCCTGCTCCTTTCTCACCATCTCTAACATGTTTGAGCCCATTGTTAGTTATTGTGTCAGGCATTTTGCTGGGAGCTGCTGTCTCCTTGCCTGACTCTCCACTTTGCCCAGCATGATGTCTTTTTCTAAAGACTGGCCCCTGTTAATGATGTGACCAATGTACATGGGGTGAAGTTTCATCACCCTTGCCTTTAAAAAGCACACCCTTGCAGCATTTTCTCCAACACACATTTGTTCTTTTGGCAGGCTGTGGGATACTTGGTAGTCTTCTCTAGCACCACAACTCAAAGGCAACAATTCTTCTGTCATCTTTGTTCATTGTCAACTTTCAGATGTATAGAAAGCAACTGAAGATACCATGGTTTGAATCAGAGACACCTTAATCTTTATAAATGGACATTGTTGTCCTTTATAACTATGGAGAGGTCCTTGATAACAGATTTCCCCAATGCAGTGCATCTTTTGATGTCTTGACTGCTGGTACTGAGCATGTTGATTGTGGATCCGTATAAGCTTGCCATGGTTTTTGCAATCACTTGTTATGCATCAGAGAGTTGGACAATGACTAGGGAGGATAGAAGGAGAATTGACGCCTTTGAGCTGTGGTGCTGGAGAAGAGTATTGAATGTACCATGGACTGCCAAGAAAACAAACAGATTCATCATAGAGAGGATTAAACCAGGCTGCTTCTTGGAGGCAAGGATTCTGGGGCTTCGTCTGACATACCTTGGACATGTTGTAAGGAGAGACAGGTCTTTAGAGAGGGACATCATGCTGGGCAGAGTGGAGGGACAGCGCAGGAGGGGAAGGCCCTCTATGAGGTGGATTGATTCAGTGACTGGGGTAATCGGGATGGGTGTGTCAGAGGCAATGAGATTGGCACAGGATAGAGCAGGGTTTAGGGCTGTTGTACATAGGGTCGCTATGAGTCCCAAACGACTCGACGGCACATAACAACAACATAAGCTTGCCAGGCTAACTGCTATCTGTACAGAGACAGGACCCCAAGCTTCTACTCACAAATCAGCAAAGCACACTTAAGCTAACATGCTTTGATTTGCAAGCCTATTGGTGAATTGCTGCAGAAGACCTGTGCAGTGGAATCTACTCTCATAGTGAACATTCTACCTCAGGGCTCTGAAACAGCATGACAAATTTCCTGGGGAGTCAGTTCTGGTCTGTATGCTTCTGCTTCCAGGCATTGCTGAGGTCTGCTGATTGAGGCTGCAGTGTGCCACGAAGCAGTGGAGTCCATACCCACAGCCAGCATGCTCCAGGCTCGGGGGAACCCTGATAGCAACGAGACTTTCTAGTGGTTCATTTGAAATTTGCCAGCACTTCCCCTACCCTGCCACTGTTGGCTACAGTGCTGCTGTAGATTGCTACAGAAGGCCTTTACAGAGAAATGTGCTGTCATAGTAAACACTCTCCTGATCTCCTGGCTCAGAAACTTACAGGAGAGACCTTTCAGAGGTGAGAAAGGCAGAGTGGTAATGTGATCAGTTCAGATCTATCTCCTACCCTTCTTATTGGTGCTGAGGACTCCTGACTGAGGCTACTCTGTGTAAGAAGCAGACATCTTTTGTGGAAGCGGTACCCACAACCAGCATTCAGGGAAGGTTCTTACTTAGCAACAAGGCAGACCTCTCTGGAGGACCATTTGCAGCATGATAGCCATTCATTCACCTGAAACCTGTGAATTGCCACAGAGAGCTCTGCCCTGGAGTCTGCTTCCACAATCAGCACTCTCCCTACCTCCCTGTACACCTTGTAGCTCAGCCTTCTGAAACCAACAGTTTAAACTTTACTGGCGCTCAGCTCGGGTTAGTCTACCCCCATTTCTAGTTGGTGATATGAATTGCTGACTGAGGAAGTAGGAGGTAGGCAGCAGTCTTCCAGGGGAAATTTGATCGGGAACAAGGAGGACCTCATATTGTTGGCATCTGTCCGACCAGAGTGTGACACTCTTTACCCTACATGGTAACTGTCAGTTGCCAGGCTATTGCAAACTTTTATAGGGCTTGCATTTTCTTAGAGCTTCTTCTATTCTGTAATCTCATTCACCTGCTTTCTTTTGAACCAGATAAAAGATGTCTAAGACCACAGTATCCATGTATGAGAAGATTTAAACATTGCTGTATTTAAAGATTAAATAACGCCTATGCAGAGGAAAGGGTCGGGGTACATTTTGCAAGTGGAGCGTAGAGTCGGCTGAGGTCAACAAGCTGGCGGATCAGATGTTTGAGTGTTGGTGACAATCTATAATACATGATTTGGTCATTTCTCTGTTGCCTTTGACGTGGCAGGGAGCTGTGGTTGTGTAGTCTATAGGGAGTTGCACTGCTAATCCAAAGGCCATGCCTCTCCAGCAGTTTAAATCCACCTGTGGCTTCTCAGGAGAAAAGTACACATTCTCTTCCCATGTGATTACAGCTTCAGAGACCCACTGAGAGGTCAGCTGTGACACAGCAGCAATGATGTTGGCTCTGGTATAGAATGTGTGTTCTCATACAGCCAAGTGTGTATCTTTTAAACCTCTATGTTAAGAAATTGGCAGCATCAGAATGGATGGTGAAGAGATTGAGATTGTTCACAGCTTTAATTTGATTGGCTCCACGGTCAACACTCTGGCACCAGCAGCCAGGAAATTAAGAGATGTAGTGTGATGGGAAAGTCTGCTGTTAGGGATCTCTTCAGGGTACTGAAGAGCAATGGTGTCACTCTGGAGACTAAGGTGCATCTGATACAGGCCATGGTCTTTGCTATCACTTGTTATGCATCGGAGAGTTGGACAATGACTAGGGAGGATAGAAGGAGAATTGGTGCCTTTGAGCTGTGGTGCTGGAGAAGAGTATTGAGGGTACCATGGACTGCTAAAAAAACCAGGTTTCATCCTGGAGAGGGTAAAACGGGCTGCTCCTTGGAGGCAAGGATTCTGGGGCTTTGTCTGCCATACTTTGGACATGTTGTAAGGAGGGAGAGGTCCTTGGAGAGGGACATCATGCTTGGGAGGGTGGAGGGAGGACGTAGGAGGGGAAGACCCTCTATGAGGTGGATTGATTTAGTGACTGGGATAATCTGGATGGGTGTGTCAGAGGCAGTTCGATTGGCACAGGATAGAGGAGGGTTTAGGGCTGTCATACATAGGCTCGCTATGAGTCGCAAGTGACTTGACGGCACGTAACAACAACAACATGTTAAGAAAAAAGCCAGTTGAATGTTCTAGATGAGACTCTACGGAGGCCTTCTGGGACAGGCCTGAGCCTGGGCTGCCTTGTCACCTTGCCTCTGCACATGTCCCAGGACGGTCTGAATGACAGCTCTCAGCCTTGGCTGCATGGCAGGAACGTTTAGAGAGTTCTGAACTAGTTATAAAATGCTAATAACTGGGTGAGTACCACCCCAGAGCAGCTGAGTCAGAGTCTTTTTTACAGTAGTCTCATGAGTGAGATCTTAGAAATACCATTGCTGTATGGCCGAGGAACTGGAGACCCGGGAGTATGTGATTACTTGGTTGTGGTTTCACAGTTGGCTAATAGTGCTCAGCATTTGAGCCCAGGCGATCTCTTCTAGAACCCAAGCTTTGAATCCTCACTCTCTTACCATTTCTCCCCCGTGCAGATGACACGGCTGCAGTTCTGATCTGGCCATTAATAACCACGTCCTCACCAGGGTCATTTCACAGCACACGTAGAATTTCATAGGCAGCTTTAGAAATAACCACATCCTCAGTGTGAGGTGATGTGTCTTCCCCCTGACCCACAATGGAATAGATATGAAAAGTAGCAGCTGCAGCTCTCTGTTTCTGAAGTTGAGGTTTCGGTTTCAGAGGGTGCACCAGTCAATGTGTTTCGGTTTGGGGGAGCCCTGGTGGTCTAGTCTGTAGGGTGTTGTGCCGCTAACTCGGAAGCTGTGCCTCTCTGGCAGTTCAAATCCACAGCCACTCGTATGAAGAAAGCTGAGCCAGCTTTGTCCCATGTGACTTACAGTCTTGCAAACCCAGTGGGGGATCAGCTATGATTTGCTTCTGGCTCAACGGGCTGCGAGTCGGCAGCGTGTAGGCAGCTGAATTGCTGGGGAGACCCCAGTTTCTCACAGGCTGTGGTTCATTTTGTTTTGATCTTCCACAAATCAATACATGCAAGCAGTTAGACTGCCAGGCAGAGCTTGTGTTGTTCTGTCCGTACTGAGTCCAAGTTGAGTTGCCTTGCTGGGCCCAGCATCATTTCATTTGATTGTGTGCGTGTTTTAGCACAGAGGCTATTAAAGCAAAATGGAATTAAAACTGGGGCTACTTCTACATTGTGCAAACCTCATCACTGAAGAGGTTTATGCATCTGGGATATCAAAGGGGCGGGAACTGGGTCTTTATTTCTTGTGATGTGACCAAGAAGTTAAACTGGTCTTTTTTCCCCCTTTGTTTTACAGGTCACAGCCAAGACTGCCTTCCTATTTATTTTACCTCAGTATAACATTAGCATGTCTACAGCAGGTAAGAAAAGCGTCTTCCATGGGCCCTACTAATTCTAAAGGACTCGGGAGATTCCCTAGCACAGTTAAGAGAGCAGCAATGTGGGCTTATCAGCCAGGAGCATCCCTTGGTTCTTGTGCTGAGGTGGTTAGAAGAAAACTGTCCCGTGATTCTGTGGCTCCTGACATTTCCTAAAGCACCTGCTGTCGACTTAAGCCAGAGGCAGGACGTGAGACACCAATTCTGTCACTCTGTTCAAGAGTGCGACTTTCTGTCTTATAATTCTGCTGGGGAGAACAGGCAGGGTGCTTTACTTCTGTGGTGCTTGAAAACATGCTCAGGAGACAGTGCTGTGCTCTGGTTGGACGTGTAGGCGTCCTGGTTTGCTGGCCTTCTGTCGTAAGTGACCACAAAGTAGGTTGTTGGTGTAAGGTGCTATTGAGTTGAGTACGATTCATAGTGACTCTTTGAACATTAGCTCTGAAGCTTGCCCTACGCTGTGCCATCCTCATCTTCTCTGCCACAGTAGAACCCACTGTTCCAGTCACTGTGTCAGTGCATCTCATTGAGGGTTTTCCTCTCCTTCCCGAGGAGGATGGCTTTGTTGTTGTTGTGACGTGCCATCGAGTCGAGTATGACTCATAGTGGCCCTATGAACCGCAGATCTGAACTCCATCCTAGCCTGTAAAGCAACAGAAATACTACTTTGAGATTAGAAGAACTGGGTGGTGTCCATTTGACACTCCTGAACACTCCTCAAGGGATCGCAGTAGAGGGTCGTGGACAGAGTAGGAGAAAGATGTACAACAGTCATCAGATAAAGGCTGATGAAGCCTTCAACACTATGTTCCTTAGTAGCCCTTTGACCCTACAACCAAAATAGTCCTGTGACTCATCTTGCAGCCCGTCATATTACAAGGTGAACATTAACATCAGGAAAGTGCCTACTCTTTAGAATAATCAGTCTTACAAGATCAGAAGTGTAGTACCCAGGGAGAAACCTCAGAAGGCAGGGAAGGGTAGGATAGAAGGATTAAGGGAAATAACAGTCACAGGAATGAAAGGGGAAGAAGGTTGTTACATTGCGCAGACACATTAATGTCTTAAAATATAAATGATTGAGTGGAACACTAATTGCTAAGTAGCAATAATAATGAAAAGCATAATAATAATAAACAATAAACTTAAAAAGAACAATAAAATCTCCTGTAGTTCTGCAGGCTGCAAGTCCAAATTCAGTGTCAGCAGGGAAATTCTCTCCCTGATACTCTGTGGAAAGACCCTTCCTTATCTCGCCCAATTTCTAATAGACCCATGATTTCATTGCTTTGTGACCCCTTAACTCCAGTATCTGCATTCTCTGCCATATGGTTATCTCACTTGTCTGTCCCTTCTCTTCTTTTTATAAGAACATTAGGCATAAAGAGATACAGCTCACTCTCACGACATCTGAAAGTTACACTATTTCTAAATAAGGTCATAGTCGTAATGACTGTGGGTTCAGACTTAAGCATGTATTTTTAGGAACACAATTCAACGCATCACAGTGGGTCAGATGTAGACCCACGCTGCAAGCCTGTGACTCAGCGTAGAACTGTTACTAAGGCTGTTTATCAGTAAACTGGCTTCATGTCCTGAAGACCCATAGGTTTTTCTGAGTGCTTATAGGGAGCTTAGTCCTATACCAGGTACAGCACATTCCTTACAAGCAGTTCAGTTGACGTGCTCCCACTCCAGAGGCCACAGGGCTAGACAGGTAGCATAAATGGCACGCATGGAAAGGACCCCACCCCCCACTTGAAGGGCAGCTTCCAGTTTATTACATAGGGGTATAGACCTAGTGTTGCTGAGAGCTGCTTCTCCTAGTCCCCAATGAGAATTGAAAGAAATCTTTTTAAGGTAGAAATATCCAAATTTTTGAATGCTGATAATTAAAACAAATTCTAGAAACACTCTGTTGGCATCCTTGATATTCTTAGGAACCAGACAGCATTCCCTTTTCTCTTTTACGAAGCATTGAAGAATGAAGGAAAGATCTGGCTCTCTTTGTTTTTATTATGAACAGAGGAGGATTATTGTTTGTTGTTGCCATCAAGACGATTCCATCTCAGAGTAACTCCACGTAACAGAGTAAAACTTCTCTAAGGAGTTTCCTCAGTTGTCATCTTTATGATAGGGACGGATCAGATGGCCTCATGGCAAGAAACTGCGTTGCAGTCCTGAAGGCATGTGGCTCGAGGCCACCAGCTGCTCTGTAGGAGAAAGATTGAGAATCTCCTCCCATGTGATGAGCTGCCTCTGAAAACCCGCTGGAGGGTCACCTGTGGGTCAGCTCTGACTTGATGGTACAGAACAACTACAGTCTTGATGGGAGCAGCTTGCCAGGTCTTTTGTTTCACTCAATCACTGATCTTACAGTTACTAGTAAGGGCTTAGCCATTGCACCACCAGGACTTCTTGAAAGAAAGATTACCTTTACTTAAAGTGAGATTCCTTTTTCTAGCCCTCCTAGCTGAAAGACTGTGACAGATCTCATAACCTGCCCCCTACAGAGTTTTGAAAACTTTCTTTATTTGCCTGCTCCACAGTGACCAGTGTTAGGGCTGCTTCTAGGGAAGCCAACTTAGTTCCTTAATTCCATCTGAGAATCAGACTAGGAACTAGCAAGAGAGGACGTAAAACTCTTCATTGTAGAAGAGATTCTTAGAAAGCACATCACTGCTGTTGATGGGCTAAGAAATGCCCTTGCCAGTGCCATTAATCATAGAAAACAAGGCAAACACATGTTCATCCTGTGTGCACTCCGAGGTCCCCGAATGAACCACTCACTCACTGCAAGGTTGATGGCATGAACCCAGAGATCCCTCAAAAGAAATGTCTGGCAGGTTGCTTCCAAAAGGTCACAGCTCCCCCCAAAATCTATGGAACACAGTTTTGCTCTTGAGCACACCACGAGCCAGAATCTACTGGAAGACAAATGGTGTTGGAAATGTCAAACTAATGACAGCACAAAAAAGTCCAAAGTTAATATGACATACATGCAACCTGCCTCCAAGTACACTCCACCTTTTGTGAGCACAGTGAATTGCATTGCTCAGTGCCTCATGGTTCAGTCAGATGTTGGCATCTTCATTCCTGCTGTCTCTTGCAAGTCCAAATAACCAAGTCACTCTTACACCCAGCTGCTTTTAACATTTGCTATTATAAAATTTCTTTTTCCATGAACAATTTTCAACATATGTTACATGACTCTTAGAGAAAATGTATAAAATTCAGAATAATGTAAGAAGATGATAAGAATCACACATACACACCATCCAACAAAAACTACAATTAACATTTTAGAACATTAATTCATATTGTTTTTGCTCTTAACTTTTTCCTGTGTCATTCACTATTATTTTGTTAAATAAGACACTTTTATAAACCACAGAATATTTCTTCAAGATTAGTACAAGTTAATTATCTAATCAACCTCTCATTGGATATTTAGGTCTCAAATTATTACTATTATAAGCAGTAAACATTGTCATGATTAAAATTTTGCATGCAATCATAATATTTTCTTAAGTTCCTCTTGCAATTTTTGGATCAAATACTATGTTTACATTTTAAAGAGATTCTACTGAAGATTATCCAAAAACAACTCGAACAGCACATCAGCAGAGAACTGCCGGAAGTCCAGGCTGGGTTTAGAAGGGGTCGTGGTACTAGGGATATTGTAGCAAATGTTAGATGGACCTTAGCTGAAAGCAGGGAATACCAGAGGAATGTCTATCTGTGCTTCATTGATTATGCAAATGCATTTGACTATGTGGATCATAACAAACTGTGGCTGACTTTGAGAAGAATGGGAATCCCAGAACACTTGATCGTGCTAATGAGAAACCTATACTTGGACCAAGAGGCAGTTGTCAGAACAGAGCAAGGAAAGAAACATTGTATGGTTCAAAATTGGGAATGGTGCACGCCAGGGATGTGTTCTATCTTCATGTATTTTCAACCTATATGCAGGACAGATTATCCAGGAGGCTGGGCTATATGAGGAGAAGTGTGGCATTAGGATTGGTGGAAGATCTATCAACAATCTGCAATATGCAGATAATACAACCGTGCTTGCTGAAACTGAGGAGAACCTGAAGCACTTGCTGCAGAAGGTCAAGGACTGCAGCCTTCAATATGGATTGAGGCTCAATATCAAGAAGACAGAGGTTCTCACCACGGGGCGTTTGGCAGCATCAGGGTGGATAATGAAGAGATTGAGATTATTCACAGCTTTAGTTTGCTTGGCTCCACAGTCAATGCTCTTGGCACCAGTAGCCAGGAAATTAAGAGATGTATTGCGATGGGAAAGTCTGCTGTTAGGGACCTCTCCAAAGTACTGGAGAGCAATGGTGTCTCTCTGGAGACTAAGGTGCATCTGATACAGGCCATGGTCTTTGCAGTCACCTGTTACGTGTCAGAGAGTTGGACATTGACTGAGGAGGATAGAAGGAGAATTGATGCCTTTGAACTGTGCTGGAGAAGAGCATTGAGTGTACCATGGAATGCCAAGAAAACAGATTCATCCTGGCGAGGGTTAAACTGGGCTGCTCCAGGATTCTGAGGCTTCGTCTGACATACTTTAGGCATATTGCAAGGAGGGACCAGTCCTTGGAGAGGGATGTCATGCTTGGATACGTAGAAGGACAGTGCAGAAGAGGAAGACCCTAGATGAGATGGATTGATTCAGTAACTGGGATAATCAGGATGGGTGTGTCAGAGACAGTGCTATTGGCACAGGACAGAACAGAGTTTAGGGCTATTATACGTAGGGTTGCTATGAGTCATAAGCGACTCAACAGAACACAACAACATTTCTAGAATATATTCTGTCATCTACAGTTTGCAATGTCGTCCTGCCCATCAGAAAGCTAGACAATGACGAGGGATAATAGAAGGAGAATTAATGCCTTTGAGCTGTGGTGCTGGAGAAGAGTATTGAATATACCATGGACTGCTAGGAGAGCAAACAGGTTTAT